AGCCTTAGGGAGGTTAAGCACCCCACCCGAGATTACACAGGTAGGAAGGGCCGGAGGAGGGACACAAACACATCTTACTGCTTTGAGGGCCTGTACTGATAAGCAGTCTTCTAAAAATAGACTAACGTAATATGAAAATTTAACAACACATTTCCCATATAAGACTGTGAGATCACTGTGCTGAAGACGGAGTCCTTCTCGGCTCTGTGAACTCAGTGTTTAGGAGGGATATTCAATAATTGCTAAGTTTAATGAAATTAAATTGAGTATGATATTGGAAATAATTAAAAGGAAATGCCTGTGAAAAACAAAAATATGCAAGATGCAAAACTACTTGTACCATTTTTTTTTTCCTTCTCAGAACAAAGGGCCCCACAACCTGGACTCCGATGCAGTCATCCTGTAGGTAGGCTTGGGGCTAATACGTGGAAGGCTGCCTCTCCTTTGGGGGACAGGTGGCTTACAGAGAGTGATCAAGGGGAGAAGAGCTCAGCAGTTGGGGAGGGAACAGAAAGGATCAGCCTGTGCTAACGTATTAGGAAGAAAAGACAGCCCGGGTCAGAGCCGCCCATGGCAGGCCGGGCTCACTGAGGGAGGAAGCCACCGGGAGACGGGAGCAGGTGCCTCTCTGGAAATCTGGAGAAGTCCCCAGTGATAAAATCTTACAGGTAGAGAAGAGATTGGAAGTTCCTGTCTTTAAAAACATGAATGTTATTTTCAGAAAACATCTCAGTACTCTGCAGAAGTGGGCCTGGCTGGAAAACGTAACTGCTCTTTCACTCGCTGTATCACGTGTGATTAAAATGCTCAATGGCAGGGTCTTGAAGGCAAGTCCTCCTACCTTTAGGCCCCGTTCGGTAACGGCAACCGCGCATGCTGACGACCTCTGTGTGTCACACACAGAGAAACATGACCTATCTCCCAACAACCTTCCAAATACAGAAAACACTTATGCTTTTAAAATGTCTTCAAAACAGACTAATAGAGTCCTCACACATGTTTGGAAAAAACCCAGAGATATCATTTAACAGTTTTCATACCGTTTCTGGATGTACTTTATAAATAAAATTCTTAATGCATGTGTGTACATTATCTAAAATCAAGGGAAAGGAACATGAGAACAGACTACGAATTCTTATGGTGATTTTAAATCTATTTAGCCAACATTTCCAAGGTAACATTTCTTTCTACTGCTAGATGCTACCTACAAAGAGGGTTGTAGCTACACCAACTCAACAAAGAAAGCCAGTGAGCATCGCGACATTTTCCCCCTCAGACATCTAGGTTTTCTTGTGATTGTATCACAATATATCGCCTTTAATATTCCTGAGACTTGACTTTTCAGGACATTTAGGTTTATGTGGTAACACGTAAAATTTGTCCTTAGGTCAGCATTTGTCCAAACATATAATCCTAGGTGTTATTCTGGTGTCAGCAGGAAAAGCTTTCTCTCATGCTCAGACTCGCCAAGCTCAGTGTTCTGTGCACCCTCCCAGGCCCCTGGAGTTCTCATTTCAAGAAGTCCTTAGGATTACAAGTGAGTGCTCAGTGTTCGCGTCCTCTGAGGTATAATCTCCAAGAGGGCAAGGACCGAGTTATCTGCTCTATCTATCATCGTCTCAATAAATAAATGTTGTCACTCCACAAACACATTCTGAATGAATGATGCACCCATCACTTCCTTTCCTGGTGTCCTATTAGTAATATAATACCAATCACTACAGAGAAACCGCGCAGTCTCATTTCTAAGGAAGGACAAGGCCTGTCGATGTTCTAAGACTAAATGTTTTAAGGCTGTAGGAATAAACAAACTGAAAGGGTGCATGCATTTGAATTTTATTGTATCTCATATTCTAGGATAAGACCTTTGTTTGAATATAGATTCAATGGAACTTTAAGGTTTGATGCTGAATTCATTCCTAAAATTGCTATCAGTCCATAGTGTTTTTTTAACCTTACATATGCCAGTTACTTTCCCTTTCACTCTCTTTATGTAGATAATTCTCTCCGAACACACTGCTCTCAGTACCACCGATGCAAAAGCAAATGACATATGCAACGCCAATTAAATATTTATGCAATGCAACACTGAAGTGGTAAATATTGTATCGCGCTCTCCATTTGTCATTAGTCGGGAAATGTTGCTACGTTCTGCAAAAATGATAGCCCCAAACAGAGAAAACAGCACCGTATTTCACACTCGAGATATTTAGGTCCGACACACACTGAGGTTCAGCTGACGCTGAAGGTATTTCTTGTTGGTACTGTCCCTGAATGCTTTTCAACCCAGGGAACTCCTATATCTGAATGGTAAAAACAGCCTGTTTGTACAAAGAATTTCTCATATGTTACTTACTCAGCGGACCTTGTAATAAGCTAACAGTAAAAGAAGTTATTTTGGGGAAAGAGAAGAGGAGCACACTTCCTATCCTTGGATCATTTCTTCAATTTGGTAATGATTTCTTTTTTTTTTAATTTTTAATTTTTTTAAACATGTCTTTATTGATTTGAGAGAGAGGAAAGGGGAGGGAGAGAGAGAGGTGGAAACATCAGTGATGAGAGTCATTGATCGGCTGCCTCCTGCACGCCCCCGACTGGGGATCGAGCCCGCAACCCGGGTATGTGCCCCGACCAGGAATTGAACTGTGATCTCCTGGATCCTAGGTCGATGCTCAACGGCCGAGCTATGCCAGCTGGGCATGCTTTCTTTTTTATGTACAGTAATAAACAAATACCAGGCTAAGCTCAAAGCTACACATTCTGATGTCGTCCTAACAAGAAACAACAAAAATGGATGTCAAAAAAATGAGTGTGCAATAGAGAGATTTTCCCACTTTAGGTTCAATTCATTGGCCACTGATATGATTGTAGAGTTGACTAGAGAATGAACTGAATTTTAAGTGACTTCTCGATCTTTCCCAGGTTTCTATACGATGTGCTAGGCAGAGAAAATGGATATTTTCTACAAATAGAGCTCAATTGAAAATGAGGTCAGAGTGCACACATGGGAAGATAGCCAACATTTCTGTGAGTGCTGGAGGAGTGGGTGCATATGCATATACAGGGTGTCCCCCCAAAACACACACGCTGTCTGTAGGTTCTGTTTTGAAAGTGAAATGTATTTTAATAAACATGGCCTTTATAATTATTCAATGTGTGTGTATACACTTTTTGGGACACCCTGTATATGCACAATTTCATCCATACAAAGTGCCTATTTAGTGGGAAAAACATACAACCGTCTAGAATGGCTTTTAGTAGATTTTTTCCTTTCTGAATTTGGGAATCAGAGTCCTGCAGTAAGACGCTTTATCATATTTCTATTTTCCTCCTCTCTTAGGGGTAAACTGTTTTATCCTGAGTCTTCATTCACCACTGAATCAGGTTTAAATATGTCTTTAATTTCATGTATCCAAGGATAAAATAAAATATTGATTTAAAATTTTTCGTTTACAATGTTCAATCCTCTAAAAGACAGGCCGTATATTTTTTCTACAGAGTGATGAAATCACATTAGTATTAAAATGCTGCCATCGCATCTCAGACAAAATGCATTTTCTGAATGCAATGCAGCTAGGAGTTAAGGGAGGAAGCTGTAGTGACAAATGGTATGTAATTCATCGCTCAGTTGTGTTCTATAACCTAATAAAACAGCACTTTTATTACACAGACATGTCCAAGAAGAAAAAAGAATGTCACGACGCATTTTATTTTGCCATCTATATTTAAATGGTTGGTTCTTCATGAGGCATAAAGGGCTGGCGCATTTTTCTTTCTGACCCCGAGTTGCATATATATAGCTAGTACCGTAATCAATTTCAAGGTACACAGAGAGGTAAAAATGTTCATAAAATGCAAATAGACAAAGAAGTAGGGCAGATAACTGCTACCAAATCCCAACTGCGATGAGCCTGGCCTCGGCAGGTAGTTTTGCTGGATGTAGGGAATGCTCACGTTGTTAAACAGCCTTTTTAGCAGACATATGACAACATCTATTTTAGGACTCAGTTGGCAGCAGCTGTTCAGGGGAAATAAATAACTACATATGTATTTTTCCAATGAAACAGAATATTGAAAATGCAAGTACTTGTTTGGTTAGCAGCACATGTCAGGGGTTCATAGGAGAAACAACGCTGGGTTATTTCATGTCATTGGGAAAGGAGTTGACAAACCAATCCCTTTAAAGTTCTGATTTTTTTTGGGGGGGGGGGAAATCAAAACTATGGAAGGTTTGGAGGGAAATAGGAGGTGACTGTTAAAGAGCACGGGGTTTCTGTTTGGGGGGTGATGGAAATGTTCTAAAACTGATTTTAATGTTTGGTATAAAACATCACTGAATTGTGTACTTTAAATGAGTGAACTGTGGGGTATGAGAATTATATCTCAATAAACTATTATAAAAATTGTCAAGTGAATTATTGGTTGGGAATAAACTAAGCCAAAAATCGAGAAAGGCTAGCATAGTATAACTTGATAAGATTTTTGTCTTCTCTAGTTTTCCTTAAATTTAAAGAACACGAGCAAATGCTTCTGGTGCCACTCCACGTGGGAAATTATGTGAATTTTCAGGTCCCACCTAGCAGTACCCAGAAATGCCAGAGGTGAAATGTCCCTAGTGGTGTTATCTGAAGTCTCACTTGACTTTGTTGCAGTTTTTAACTGGTGTTAACCTAAGAATTCAAACGTTTATTTTGACTTGTGTTAAACGTTTCATTAATGTTCATGCTCGATGATAAGATTTCTGGGCATTTCTTTACGTGTACAACATCACGCTTTCAGGTTATCTCTTGCCTTTTGTGCAAATGCAGCTTTTCTATTTGTCTAAATTTGTTGACAACTACTTAAACTACCCTGTGATTAAAACGCATTATTACCAACCCCTCCCCCAGAGAATATAACCACAGCATAGACTTCTTGACCAAATAAGTAGATAAGACCCACAAAACAACAATATAATGTCCCAACTTACAGAAAAAACAATTCTAAAACTTTGTTCTTACCTATAAAATATGAGAGGAGTATTGCCAGGAGCACGGAGACCCCTACAGCACACAGGGCAGTACATTTCCAGCTACAGTACTTCGAAGACTTCTTGAATTTAAAAGCACTTCTTGACAGGGTGTTTCTAGGCAGTGGCCGAGTAGGCGGCGAATACACGGAGCCGGAAGCCATTGTGTACCCCGGGGTTGCAGTGCTGAACAGTGGCGTGGTCCCCGTTCCTGTCTTGAATAGGAAATGCCTGTGGAATGGGAGAATATCATTATACAATATCAGCATCAGTATCAAGACACAAATATGATCAAACGTGGAGACAGAGACAGCTAGGCAGGAGCTGTCTTTTAATCACTTGCTCCACGTAGTTTTCAAAACCTAGAAATTAAGAAAATATTTTAACCAAAAAGAGTCAACTCATAAAAGTGACTGAAGAGAGAGGCGATTTGTACCGCAGACGGCAGTATTGATGCCGAACAGGTGATCGCTGTCCTCCACATCAAGTAGACATCCCGAGAGCCTGGAAAGTTGTTCTGATCACACCGTTCCTGCACAAACCCATCTGGAACCTCCCTTTATGAACCGCCGTAAGCACATCTTCCCATTTCCCTGAAGACAGCTCCTCTTACTACTTTATAGCTGCGTGTTTATCTTCACTACTACACTAGAGCACGTGCTCATACAAGGGCACGTGTGTGGCCACGCTCAGCCGCTGCAGGCTGGTTTATTTTCCGATGGCCATGGAAACCATCTAATCCTCACTTGCTCTGCCACTGAGGAGGCCCATCAAGCCCGGCCCCAGGCAGCCGGTCAGTTCTCAAGGGAGGCAAATCTATTTTATTTTTAGCTTATGTCAGATGTAAAGGTAAATCTGCCGGGCAGGGGAAGGAGTCGCAGGACACTTTCTAAACCCAACCCAAATAAATGGAGGGGTCAGGGACGCAGGGTTTAGATTAAGCAGGAAAAGCTTCCCTAACGACTGAGCCCAAAACGGGCACAAACTGCCTCCAGGAGTTGTCTGCTCTCGTCCTCGGGAAATGTTTGAACAGAAATTGACCGATCACACGACAGGAGGCTGTAGAAGGGATTCTTTAGAGAAAACGACTCATTTTAATATTCCTATTCATGAAAGTCTCCATGTTTTTTGCAGTTTACGTTTCACATTATGTTAGTAATTTATAGTGTATTTAGTCTGTGTCTTAACAGGTGTTATTATTTCCCTAGTACCATGTTCAAGTGAGGTCAGTGAACTGTGCTCTTTCCCATCCAGGAGGTTCTGTGTCCTGGAATATCTTGATGAAGATGACTTTCGAAGGCACACAGACGACTAACCGCCTCACTTTGGGTCAAGTGCAGGCAACTTTTTCACGACATGGCAGTTCTGCTGTGAATACTGTGAGAGCAGCCGCAGAAATACGTGAATTCCCGAGTGTGGCTGTATTCAAATAAAACTACTTATGGACTCTGAAATTTTAATTTCACAGAATTTTCCCACGTCATGAAATAGTTATTTTTTTTCAATCACTTAAGGGTGTAAAACCTACTCTTGGCTCATGATCACTACAAAAACAGGTGACAGGCTGGATCCGGCCTGTGGGATGCCGCTGACCTTGATCTAGACCCTTATATTTTTAAGGTTATACAAGAAGTGGAGCAAGAGGCTGAGCAGCCCATGGCAACAGACTGTGTCCTCAGTGCCCCTGGAAAGGAGTACTAAGAGCTCTGGGAAGGACGCGTATCCCTCCTGTTGGAGGAGGTGACTGTGCGGCTGGACAGGCCGATGTGATTGCCAGAGCTCCTGCTACGGGCCTGTTTCCTTCCCTCTCCATCAGGTCACCAGGCCTGTTTTCTTCCAGGTGCTTGTTACAATCAGTTATCCTCTTGCTTGGTTGCTTACTTGTTTGGTGGGTTAAATACATAAAATAATTACATTCTATTTAAGGTGTGCTTTTCCTCCTGAAATCTCCCGTGTCCCTGCTCTGCCCGACCTCTCTCAATTCCGACAGCTGCTTCGTTGCCTCCCCAGCTGGAGATGAGATGAGATGACATGTAAAAGCAGCCCGAGCGTGTTGCAGGTTTCCTAACGCCCAGATGACCGGGTGAAGTGGAGTGGACTGGGGTGCAACTGTAACGTCTGGGAGAAATACGGTGGGAGATAAAGGGGGTTTCCCCCCAGACCAGGAGAGAATCTTCAGGCTGCGAGGAGGAACAACGGACCAACAAGAGCCGAGGATTGCACAGCCCAGGGAGAGAAGCCGGCCGATGCTTTGTGGCAAGTCGGGGTGGGGGGAGGGAGAGGGCGTCTCCAGAGATGACGGAGGCTCTCCCTACCTCCTCCAAGCCAGGCTTGAGGGGTGAGGGTACAGAAATCGCAGAGCGGCCCGATGACGCCACGCACATAGAGACAAGTAGCATCTGAATAGCAACCAGTGTGCAGCCCATGGCCAAAGACAGTCTTCGGTACCAGAAAGAATTTCTGCAGAAAAGTAGAAGCAGAAAGGGTGTGGGAAAGTATCAAAATGTCTGAAAGATACAGAATTTCGGAGGGAAAGATTCCCCTTAGACAAGAATATTTTCTCATGAAGGGTTAGGGAGAGGGGAAGGAGGGGGTGGGTGAGGGCAGAGCATCTCTGTGCCTCAGAGACAGAGCCCGTCTGGCTCCCCCAGAGGACTGAGTCCTGGAGAGGCAGAGACCACCCGGTGTGTCGGGACCAGAGAAAGCCGGAGCCCTGCAGAGGTAACGGGGCCCCACAGAGAAAACTGATGTGTGGAGAGTCGGGGGGATATGGTTATGGGGAGCTCCCTGGGGCTCCTGCATCTCAGCATGACATATACTGAGCAGAATTAAGTCTGTGGCTTCAGGAATGGCACAGAAACGGCAGATGCGCCACTGGCCCTGAAGAGTCCACACGCAGAGAGTGCAGGCGACCTCAGCAGGGACATGGGGGTCGATGATGAAGGAACACGGAGCATGGAAACCCGAGGGCTTCCTGGAGGAGTGGCACCAGACACCCCGTGTGCCCGCAGCAGCGAGGGAGGAGGGGAGACCCAGGTTGTCTGACTAAGTGTCTAAGGACGAAGGCTTCAGATAAAACATGGGAATATGAAAAGAATAAAGCTGCTCAGCAGGCCAAGTTGATGAACCCTAGAGCCGCCCCACAAATCTATTGCCTGTCTCTCCCATGGGAATGGAAATTCTATGGCTTCTTACTGCCCTTGAGTATTTTCAGGACTTAGTTCCTGGAACACAGCAGTTGCTCAATAAACATTGTAAAATAAATAAAATGGTGACCATTGTGCCGATGTGGAAAGTGAGTCCTGGAGAAATTAAGTATCTTGGACAAGGACCCACAGCTAACAGTAAGTAAATAAAACAATAAATTAAAAAATAGGTAAATAAAAGCTGGCAATTACAGGGACCAAAATGAAGAGCTATGTTGGAAACTACGTTACTGTTTTATTCAAAGCGGGTTGGGTCGTTTCTTCACGGGAAATGGGGTTAGGACCTGAGCCTGTGGGACTCTATGTTACCTTATTAGCCTTAACACCGAAAGCATGTACCTACTGTGTGCAAGACAACAGGCCAGACACATGCCAACTTCACACCAGACACCTGTTTCAACTTCCGAAGTTTGTGATGTTCATACACGATGCTCATCTGCTTTGGTGATCCTTGCAAACTGCTCTTTCCAGGACTAGGCTTGAATTACTACGAAATTATTTTTTTAGAGCAAAATGCAACTTTGAGGTGTTGTCGAAAATGATGATGTAATATTCAAGATTACACTAATCATCAGTATTAGTGGAACGGAAGACTGCTTTACCTAAAGGAGTTTCTAACTTACTCATACATAAATTTACTTGTGTTGTTGCAAGAGGACTTTTTTGGCCACTGACTCTCCCTCTCAGAAGTACGCTTCCTCTTCTAAGGACCACCTGTACCAGGGGCATCAAATTAGTGCCCTGGACCTGTTTGTACATAAATACAGAAACGTTATAAAAACACTGAAAGAGGAGCCAAATCACCAATGCGCTGTACTTTAAAATCACTGGTCTTCAATATTTTCAGATGGCTTTCTAGTACGGAAGTACAGAAAGAATTTGGAAAGATTATTTAAATTGATGCATTTTGAAACCAATGAACAAATGGAGTCATTCGTCTAAGAACAATTCCTTTAGGTAAAATTAGGCCTTAAAATAGATGTGTTAAAATACACCTGTGAAGGCCTCTTAGAAATAAAGTAGAATAGGAGAAAACGTCTATGTCCGCCTATTTACTAGAGAGAACATTTGCTTTCGTATTGGGTGGGAACCGTGTTATTTTTTAGGTTCAGACAGGATGTCTTCTTTCCAAAGTCAACAGTGCTTCTCTTCCCACTGCACACACAGACCAAGTAACACTGACAAGTGCCTATGGCAACGAATGTGTGTCTTCAAGCCCAGGACTTCTCTTGCTGTGTCAGGGACCACCACAGCGCTTGGCCTACGTCCAGAGCTCCAGGAATACTTAATGAGCGAACAGATACGGAGACTCAGCTAGGAAAATGGTATGAAAGCGCGAGAAAACGACTCGATCACCTAACTCTCTACAAGGCACATGCATCCGTGTGTCACTGCTGTCTGTCCCCATCTTCTGACTCTTGGCCAGGTCCCTCCGGCCTTGGGACTATGCTTCTGACATACGAAAAACTGCAAAAATGGTCAAACCCATACGGCTGTGACCGGCATCCACACGAGGTGTGCAGATAAAGGCAGACGTTTCCTGCACTACTCAGACCACGTTTGGGAATGAAGACCGTGAATCCTGGGAGAAGTTTCCCATCGTAGGCGGGGGCAGGCGGCTCTGTCCTGATGTCCCTAACGATGCCCGCGAGACGCCAGCCTCCAGAGCCTCGGCCGCTGCCCCCACACTTCCACTCCGGCTGGGAACTGGAGGCCCGCTCGACGGCAGACTATCAGACACTGGGACACGGAAAATCCGTCTCAAAGCCCCAGAGGCGCGGGGACAGAAGGTCAGCGAACACTCGCAGCTGCTCCGTGGCTCCGGAATCTCACCAGGAATCCTAGTTACCAACCACGGCGACCGGACAAGAACCCTGGGCCTGCGTGGCTTCATTAGCTGTGACGCCACATCGCAAAAAAGGGGACATCTGTAATACTTTCAACAATAAAGACTAAATCTATTAAAAAACACACAAACCCATAGACGGGAAGGAGGGCTCCGTATGAGCACAATTAATAGCTGCT